GTACTCTTTTTTTCTTACAAGGTTTTGTCCCACTGGGTTTTTCTTGCAAGGTTTTTAACGAGGTAACCAAAAGGCGTATTTCTAAATATGTGTACTCTTTTTCCCTCACTAAGATTTTTTTTCCCATAGGTTTTTTTAAATAAGGTTTTAACGAGGTACATTATCTATGGACATCCAAGGGGGAGTGTTATAAGAAAAATCAAATTATGGTGGATGTCTACTCTTCCTCCATGATCTTCTCAAATGCTTAATGACATATTCAATGACATATTTCTATGCTTAATGACATATTCAATGANATGTCTACTCTTCCTCCATGATCTTCTCAAATGCTTAATGATATATTTCTATGCTTAATGACATATTCAATGACATATTTTTCTTCACTTTTCATGCCTATATAAAGGCCTTGTAATAGATAGGAAAATAACACAATTGAAGAAGAAAATCTCTTCCTTCTCTCTATCTCCATTTCTTATTCATATTTTACTAAATTGCTTTTATTTCATTACAACATGTCTTGTTTATGTTTTACTAGGTTACTTTTATTTTATAACAATAGTGACGTTCTTATCATCATGCCTTCTGCTATATTTTAATTCAGCCTTACATTATTATCAAGAATTGACCTCATCTTATCTTTTGATTAATCCTAGCACTAAAATGGCATTGGCTGCTAAGTGTTATTATATTGTCAGGCCATTAATGAAAAAAAGCTAAAACAAACGATCTAATTAGTTTAAATATGTAGAATCTGACTTTATGACTATGACATATTTATAAAATAAACCTAAGTAAACATTTGCAATTTACTATATGCAAATATTTTAGTTACCATCGAAGTAATTACTTAGTCAAACAATACATGCACATGCAGGTGCCAACTATTAATACATGCACATTATTTCATTGTTTCACATAAACAAATACGTTTTACGACCTTAGTAAACAATTTGTTAATTAATTAGTTAGACTTCGTAACTTGATGTGCGTGTATCTTGATTTTGTTTTCCATTTTCCAGGTTCATAGTTATAGTGTGATGAACGCCGTAATATGATGTATGAGATAATATTTTAAAGTATTATTATCATTATTACTATTGTTATTATTATTTTTTATTATTAATTCGTAGTTGTTGTTATTACACTTCAATATTTGTCAAGAACCTTCTTATTCTGGCTAAAGACTGGTATGTTTGTAGATTGATAAAGTGTGACTCAAAAGCAAGAGTATTATTATTGGAATATCTGAAGTATTCTGAGTGTTAGCTCAATTTAATACCTCGCCCCCCCTC